GCTACCAATAGAAGCAGCATTGGTAATGGTTATTAAGAGCATCACTGCAAAACATTTATTGTCGAAATACACATCTCGTGCAGTAAAATTGGACTGTCAATGTTATTTTTGTAATATTTGGTTAAAATTTTCTTTTGCGTTCTAATTTCTTGTACTAAACACATGCATTATGTTTTAATCCGCTGAGAAATTTATGGAACTTAAAGTGTACAAATTATTATTCAGTATATTCACATTTGGAAAAAAAAAACAAAAACAACTGAAGACAAGTATTTAGGTTAAATCTCTTGTATTGTATAACATATATGTCTCGATCTGGTCTTTAAGTGTATGGTTTGTTAAGAAACAACCCTAATAAAATGCCTTCAAAAATATGAATTTAATGTAAGTGTTTTATCATATATGAGTGTAAACTGGGACATAATATAATAGTCCTCCATCTGTTAGTATAATAGTCCCAGGTGACCGTGTAACAGGATGGTCGGGCCTGGTTCTTCAATGAATATATGATTTTATCTCGGGGGGGGGGGGGGGTGTCTATAGGCTATACTTTCTATATACAAGGCCAGTGGCGGATCCAGAATTTTTCATAAGTGTGGGGCCCACTGACTGCCTAAGAGGGGGCCCGCTCCAATCAGTGATTCCCTATATAATCAACCAATTTTTTTCCCAAAAAAGGGGGGGGCGGGCCCCCTGAAAAACCCTCTAAATCCGCCTCTGCGAAGGTGATAATACGTGCCGCTGGAATTTGTCACATTATTCAGCGTGAAATTATGAGAATAGGTGGGAAAAATTGTCAGAAATATATAAACCAACCAATATGGGAAAAGGTAACATTTTTACCTATGCAATATATGAAAATTTTAAAATCTAAATTATATGAAAAGGGTGGGCAGGGGTTGGGTAACAAAACCTCAGCGGAACACCGAGCCGATCAATTCAGTATTGAACCCCCCCCCCCCATAATGCATGTAGTCTCTCAGATTATTTATATCTTTTCAAAGCTAAATACACTGTATCTAAACTACCCCGGCGAAAAATGTTTGGACTCAATAGTATCTAATGTCCGGTACGGTGACGGACAATAAACAGACAGAGAAATGTAGAAATTCTGTTTATTTATTTGTTGTTTTAATGATATTGAAGAATATACATACACATATAACTATTTTCGATAGTGTGATGTAATATTTTCTACCACCGTTCTAGATTTATGGAGAAATAAGTAAAAATGCACATCAAAATGGTGAATTGAGTGAACCCTGCCTCGAATTTGTTTAATTTCTCTTTAAATTGAGCACATTGTACGGAAAGAAAGGTACGGAAAGAAAGATATTAACACGGAGATTTCAAGACTTTTCACTATGATCGCCTCAATATTTGCATGTCTGTGCATAGAATGAAAGAAGTGGGTCATGTCAAAATTGAAGCACCCGGTTTTGTCAATGTGTACGACCCGGTTTTGTCCTTATATTTCACAAAGCAGACCCGGTTTTGTCATAGAAAATAATGCATAATCGCATGACGAAAATTAAAATATGGCGTTCAACAGCAGTTTGAGGGATCGTTGAAAAACATTTTCTTTCAGAGGATAACTTATAACCTTTTTGAATCCGTAAACACTTGAACTCCTGCTATATTAGAACAAAGCAAATTTCAATTTTGTTTTGTATAAAAAAAAAGGAAAAATTAAAAAGAAATGAAGGTTTTGAAACGGAATTAGATTTTTTTTATATCATCTATGTAAATTTAAGTGTTCAAACTTAATTAGGGTACGGCCTTGAAAATTTAAGGACACATTTGATATGTGATTTTTTTGGGACAACAAGATGGTTATCTTAGTGTTCCGCTCTACTTAAAGGGAAGACAGTATAATCGTTTGAAAATAAATATTCTGAAACTAAACGTTCATTATAATGCAAGAGAATAAGACAAATGTATGTGCATGCAGAATCGCCCAAGAAAAGGAATTTCCATGCGGCGCAAAGGATCACAATAATAGTGCGTTAAAAATCTGTTTACCCCTCCTTGTTATAATAATACTAAGTATAAATTAGTATAAAAGTCTTAGGCCATCCGGAAATTGCAATAATGATTATTTGATTAGTAATTTATATAAATAAACGATGTTTCGTCTCTCTTTTTTTTTCTTTTTTTCTTTTTTTTAGCATTAACAAATTCTTTAATGCACTAGTATCAAGTTGTTAACAACTGCCCTATATAATACAACTATTATATATAGGTTTATCTCTTCATTGTATAATGATTATCGTACATTGACAAATGTTCTACAATTTAAGCAATTTGGTCAAGTTTAAAATTGTCAATATGCAAGGGCGGACCGAGGCCATGATTTTTGAAAGGGACGTATTCATAAACGGATTTTATACCGCCGAGCGTAGCAAGGGGAACTTTTTTTAACGATTTAATGCTAAATAAAAAATCATATATAAATCCTAAAAAACATGATAAAATAATTATTTCTAGCCACCAAAAAGGGGGGGGGGGGTCGGCGTACTCCCTCTACTCCCCTGGATCCGCCACTGATATAATGTAACTATATCGTATACCATCATAAAAATTTAAAAAAAGACGAAAAAAACAGAGACAGCCGCCAATCCCATATTTACTATAGGGGCTCTGTAATCAAATGAGTTAAGCCTTTTTCAACTCACTGAATTTTATAGTTTGTTCATATGTTGTGCTGTTATATCACTTTTTTTTTTTTTTTTGAAGGGGAGCGTGGGGGGGGGGGGGGGGGGGCTTACACGTTCAACCTCGCCATTCTGTATGTACCAGTACCGAAGGAGCCTGTAAATCGGTTGTTGTCTTTTGTTGCTATATATCACACATGTATTTGTTTTTCGTTTTTTATTTTGTACATAAATCTAGGTCGTTAGTTTCCACATTAGTTTTTTTTTACAGTTTTCATTTCGGGGCCTTTTTTAGCTTGCTATGCCGTATGGACGTTTCTCATTGTTGGATGCCATACGGTGTTCTATATTTGTTAACTTATACGTTATTTGGTCTCTGATGGAAAGTTGTCTCATTGTCATTTTTCACGGGCTAAATTGCCTATTAGGTTGTTCTACGAAGACGAAGACGAAGATATTGGACGTTATAATGTTGCAAACCAACTTTTATTTATAAAAAGAAATAATTCTTTCATGCCATGCTCAATGCTCATTTTAACATAGGAAGGCATTATATTTGTTAAAATTTTTAAACCAAGCGTTAGCCAGGTATAAAATATTGACAAATATAATGTCTACCTATGTTAAAATGAGCGTAGAGCAAGGCATGATAGAATTATTTTGTTTCTAATGGGGAAGTTTAGAACTTGTGTATTTCGAAGCGGACATAAAATACACGTTCGAAAGGCAACCATTTTGATTGAGATATCCAAAACGTTCTAATAGATATAAGAAGATGTGGTATGAGTGCCAATGAGACAACTCTCCATCCAAGTCACAATTTGTAAAAGTAAACCATTATAGGTCAAAGTACGGCCTTCAAAACGGAGCTTTTTCTCTCACTGTCCGTCAATGGATGAACGAATGAGTAAATATTTTGTAAACATAGCGTATAGTGTAGTAAAGCATACTATCCTTACTCTTTTGATAAATTGATATGGTAACACAATCATTCCACATCTTCTTATTTTTACATCATTACAGTAGTATAGAAAACAAACAAACATTTTTGAGATGTATTTCTATTTGTATCCATCTGATGACTTAAGCCTTTTTCTACTGATTTTATTAGTTCGTTCTTATGTTGTACTGTTACACCAATTTCCTAGGTTAGGGGGAGGGTTGGGATCCCGCTAAGATGTTTAACCCCGCCCCATTCTGTATATATTTACCTGTCCCAAGCCAGGAGCCTGTATTTCAGTGGTTGTCGTTTGTTGCTGTGTTACATATTTGTTTTTCGTTCATTTTTTTGTACATAAATTAGGCCGTTAGTTTCCTCGTTTGAATTGTTTTACACTTGTCATTTGGGGGCCTTTATTGCTGACTATGTTGTATGAGCTTTGTTCATTGTTGAAGGCCGTACGGCGACCTATAGTTGTTAATTTCTGTGTCATTTGATCTCTTGTGACGAGCTGTCTCATTGGCAATCACACCACATCTTCTTTTTTCTATCATAAGGAATTAATGTAAGTACATGATATAAAGTATTTATTTCCATTTAAACTAAGTTCGAAGATAAGATCAATAAGGTATACGTATAGCATTCAAAAATGTCTACTCCCTATTACGAAAAGTTCCCGTTTGAAATATATTTTAACACATGTTTGTATTGCAATAACATCTTTATAACATCTTTTTGACTCAAATATTTAATTTCTTCCGATGGGCAATGTCCAGATCCGTGCTAAGGTAGCTTTTCATAAATTTGTGGTTTCAAAACAAAACAAAACCGGGTCCTATACTGAGACAAAACAGGGTCCTTGTGTAATAAACAACATTGACGAAACAGGGTCCTTCCATTTTGACATGACCCATTTATTTCGTTCCATGCATAGAAATGCAAATATTGAGGTGCTCATAGTGACTAGCCATGCAATCTCTGTGTTAATATCTTTCTTTCCGTACTTTTCTTTCCGTACAATGTGCACAATTTAAAGAGAAATTAAACAAATTCGTAGCAGTGTTCACTCAATTCACCATTTTCGTGTGCCTTTTTACTTATTTCTCCATTAATCTAGAACGGTTGTAGAAAATATTACATCACACAATCGAAAATAGTTATATGTGTATGTTTATTCTTCAATGTCATTAAATGACAAATAAATAAACAGAAATTCTACCTTTTCTCTGTCTGTTGATTGTCCGTCACCGTACCGGACATTAGATACTATCGAGTCCAAACATTTTTTGCCGGGGTAGTTTAGACACAGTGAAATAGTTGTTATAATACGGATAAGGGCTATATTTATTGATAGTACAGCAACCAATGAAAAGTGTCCATTTTGTGTTACTAATTTTAACTTTATTGACTGTTCTATAAAACAAGTAAAGTCGTAAACTTTGTACAATTTCGTTTGAGATATTAAGTGGAACTTGTAGAAAAAAGGACATAGGAAGAACATAAATCTCTCATTGCTAAATGCGTCTTTTCGATAGTTGTTTTGGAAAAAACGAAGAAACAAAAAAAGGTATGTCCGACAGATCAATAGGGCTCAGTACACTTGTACTCCTAAAAAACAAACACTAGAAACTTCAATAGGTTATGGTACGCCTTTTAAGTTAAAATAAAGAAATAGCACATTTGAAAAAAAAAAGTTCGTGATATTTAATTAAATATATTGAAGAAAATGACGAATGTTCTTTCAATTAACGTTTTCGTCTGCTTTTTCTCGCCACACCTCTTTTCGTCTAATTTCATATTGTAACTAACCTAACCACACAAATGACTAAGACGAAATATTACCCACAGTGCAAGATTCGAAAATCACCTGTTCCCATAATGCACCTGCATTGTTCGGATCGCCCTGTATGAATATTTGAGGTGTGGTCAATGTTGAAATAACGAAAATTTGGTTATATATACCCGTCTTAAGCCACCTTTAATAGTCTTGAAGGTAAGATAAATGTCCATTTTATTCGATGAAAAAATAAGATAGTCAGAATATCATATTATATCTGACAATTTTGCATTTTAATGAAGAGGCGGCAGTCTACTTCCCTATTTGGTAGCGATCGAAATTTTGGAGCCAGATTAACGGCAATTTTAATATTTAGATGTACGAAGTATTATTCCGATGTTTTACTTACCCACTCAATTGTTACTTGTGTTATTTCACTGAAGAGACAAAGAAATAATTGGAATTCGGCTTTGGCTGGGGTTAATTTATAATCGCCATTTTAGTTTTGATGACATCATCGATAGCCTGACATTTATCTGCATAATTTCAGTAGAATTGCATTGAATGTAAATGAGAACAGTTAATATAAAATATGTTGTTTTTGTTATTGAATCATAGTACATAAGTATGAAGTTTTTTACATTGTCTGCACTTTGAAACCTTCGATCCAGGAAAAAATATAAATATAAATGAATCATTATCTGACAACTGTTATGAGATTTTCTTTAAAAAAGATTTGTATCCAATTTAAGTCAAAATTTTACGATATTAATTTCACCTTGGCTATTCTGGTAAGCATTAATACAATTATTATTATTAAGTTTTCTGGATTTAGATGGCTAAATTTGGAAAACAACCACTTGAGACATTTGTAGCTTTTTAAAGAGGTTTTAGGATCATTGTTTCAGCCAGCCATACCAGGTGAATAAAATCACTTGGGAGATGACATTTATGTGAAAGCCACATCCAAATTGAAATTTGAATGTTTCCTGCAGCTTTTAAAAAGGGCAGGGTAATACTACAAAAAAAAAGTCTACATAGAGCTTGTATAGTGCCATTAACACATATGGAAACACTATTAAGACACCCTTAGTGTGAACTACACTTTTAGGACACCATAAATAAAGCTATAAAGACCTTATGGGAAGGAATTAACATATGAATAACAATAACAAGAGGTCAATAGTACAGATTGTTACCCTGAGAAAATGTCAACCGAGATGAAGCAGATCATTTATAGAAAAGCTATGGATAAATTTTGCAGAAGTTTGAAGATAAACTGTACACATAAACTTGGCTGTGCAGAATGTAAAAAATACCCTGCCATTTCTTGTCAGAATAGGAAAATTATATCATAATGCCTTGCTGAAGGAGTGTCATTTTCTCTGACCGTTAAGGGCCAATAAAGTGCCTGTATGTTGCCTTGTGCAAGGCAAATATTTTTCCCCTGTCCCAACAAACCTTTTCTACTGTCTTAAATTTTTTGTCTATTTCTCTGTCAATCTTCTTTTTACATTGCAACCTACTTATTGGATTATTATATAATTATTCCTATCCTGAAAGTGCATAACATTTTTGTCACTGTACTGTCAGTAAACAGGGCTGAACAAATTAAAAAATGTTGTACATGGAAAACTCACAATCGTCACTTTTATGTAATAATATCATTAATTTTGAGTGAAAATCACAACTACTGTGTACATGAAATAATTATGGGGAAAACAGATTTGTGTTGGATGAAAAAAAGACTACTTTTATTTTAATAAAAATTGAGGGTTTTGAACTGACCCTAATTTTTAGCACCAAACTTGCAGCCTTCACGCTTAACTTTTGAGTCCACAAGCCAGACGCTCAATATTTTGTAAATTTTAGTTGGATTCTGTTGGCTTGTAGAGGAGAGTTATACAAGCCCGAAAGCACTTTTACAAGCCATGGCCGTAGGACTTGTGGTTAAGCGTTAAGACTGAACTTGACATTGTTATGCATCTTACAATACTGTACAATTGGTTTATTGACAAATAGAGAAATTTTCTGTTAAAAGTAGTGTTTATGATTCCAGAACTGAGCATGGTGAAAACATGGTAATTTTATACAAGAAATTGTATCTTATAAAATCAGTCTACAGACTAACTTTTAGATAAGAAACTCTAACTACACCGTTTTAAGGTGGAACATGGGCTTATTCTTTCAAACAGGGTGGATAGTTGCTTAAAACTTTCAGTAAGTAATGAAATCATGTTTCCATGCACTTTAAATCAATGAAATTTGCTTGATAAGATTTTCAAAATCGTTCTTTTTTCAGACTTTTATGCATCAGGAATGGCTGCTATACGCAAGAAATTGGTTATAGTTGGTGATGGTGCTTGTGGTAAAACTTGTCTACTTATTGTGTTCAGCAAAGACCAATTCCCAGAAGTATATGTACCAACTGTGTTTGAGAATTATGTAGCAGATATTGAAGTTGATGGAAAACAGGTATGTGGTTAAGTCTTAAGTGTAAAGTGCTTTGATCATATGTTTTCTACATTTATCATGGGACTGCATGAGTAACCTATAAATTTCTGAATTCCTACAATTTACAGCTTTGTATATTTTAATTTGACTGGATGAAAAATCCTCTAAAAAGCTTAAAACCCGTAAGTTCAAACAAAAGCATGATTGACAGCATCCATTAATACACAAACAATCTTTTAAATCACTGATGTCTTTTGTAAAAGTCACATATTTAATTTGAAAACCAAATTCATGATATAGTTAACTGGCATTACGATTTAGAAAGTTGAAAATTAAGTTGCTTTACCAAAAAAATTGGCAGATTAAAAAAATAACATTTTTTTAAAGATTATAAAAGGATATGACTTTATTTGGGGGTAAGTCAATGAGTCAGCAACCCAACAACAAAATAACCAAAAGACCTCTACAGGGCAACACAGTTTTCAAAGATCGACATTGGTGTCAAGGTCTGGATATTTACATTTTGTACCATAAGGACTACATGTAGTCCTATTTAAAACCCTTTTTTATTTGTAATTATCATGGTGGTTATGGGGTAAATATTTTTTTTTTTCATGTTGACAAACAAATGAATGTTCACTAAAATTTTAGGAACATTCTGTTCATGTATAAAATATTTTCCATACTCATATCATTTGACTTTAGAAGGTTGAAGTTCAAATCATATAAATTCATTACAAATATATCTTAACCATAAGAAGTGTATACTTTCATGACATTTTTTTGTCACATTATATATAGATTTTCACATATATTTTCTTTACTCAAAGACGTTATATGTATGTCTCCTCTTGGATCTTGGAGATACATTTTTTCACTGTATAACAATAAAACAACTTTCTATGTATTATTCACAAATCTTTAAATCCTCTCCCAGTATAATTAGAACACATCAATATATTAAATCTGACACCATGAACACATTGCTATTTGCACACACACAATAAAGCTTTTCCCTGTTCATAATTGTTGTAGCCATGATTTATACAATTTCATTTATTCGTATGGCTTTTTAAGTTACAGCATTTTGTACTTTCTCAGTGGAAGATTTGGTTAACTGCATCTTTCTTTTTCCGCTGTTCAATGATCCAATATAATACTGTCTAAAAATGTGCGTATGTAGTGATGTCAAATCACAAAATTTTCGGCAAAGTATCATTTGTTGTTTCGCGAAAATTTGCATCGATTTTGGAATTACTGAAGCTGACAACTCCCTCAAGCCAAATAAATGGTGAGTTGATTTTCAAATGTCAGCATGAAATTGTTATTTTTTGACCTGCATGATTTTTTACTTTAAAAAAAGACCTATATACCGGAATGGATTTTCATTATTATATTTTCCTCCCAATACTTGCATTACAAACTATTTTTTGTTCTCTTCTAACACAGCACTTATATCAATATTGCTTTTCAGTATTCTTTGCACTTTCTTTTTTTTGTATTATTTGCATGATGATTTTTGTGTTAGTTTTGGATTGCCGTTCTTCATGTTGTTGTTATCAGTAGTTCCAATTTTTGTTCAGTAGCAGCATGTTAAAGAACTGCTGTAAAATGTCGGCTAATTGTAATTTTGTTTCATTTTTAGGTTGAGCTTGCATTGTGGGATACAGCTGGACAGGAAGACTACGACAGACTCCGTCCACTCTCCTACCCAGATACAGATGTCATTCTTATGTGCTTCTCTATAGATAGTCCTGACAGCTTAGAAAATATACCAGAAAAATGGACACCCGAAGTTAAACACTTCTGCCCAACTGTACCTATAATTCTAGTAGGGAACAAAAAGGACACTAGAAATGATGAAAATACCAAAAGAGAATTGAAGAAAATGAAACAGGAACCAGTCAAAACTGCAGAGGGTCAAACTATGGCAGAAAACATACATGCATTTGCATATTTAGAATGTTCCGCCAAAACTAAGGAAGGAGTAAGAGAGGTGTTTGAAACTGCCACCCGAGCAGCCCTGCAAGTCAAGAAATCTAAACGCAGGAAGTGCAAAATATTCTAGATTTACAGATAAAACATCAAATAACCTTGAAGCTCAGTGCAACTTTTCCCCCCGAGAAACCTTAAATAGGGATATTATTTATTTGAGTATGACTGTTTTCATTGTTTTGTATGAACAAGCCAAATTTCAGTAATTCCATTTCTTTGAAGTGTAATAAATAATGTTAAGTTATATTTTGTATATTTGAGATTAATTTCATGCATTCCTTAAATATGTGAAGCCATTCCTTGTTCTTACACACTAGCACATTAAACATATTAACATTCTCATTGCGTGGAAAGTGACTGCATTAGCTTGACAAACTATGGATGTCAGATGCTTCTTTCTTTGCCTTAGAAGCTTTTATATATGATTACTTATCATTTCTAGATTCTATATATTTTATGCATGATCTTTGTAAATATAAATGCAGATGTAGATTTGTCTATTAAATGTTTGGTATATTTTTAATCTTCATTGCCTAGTATGGTCTAGTCCAAAATATTAAATTTGAGAAAAGACATTGCACTTCATCTTCAATATACATTTAACAATATTTTGTGTTGTTATAGTGTTATAGTAAAGATTTTTAACTGGATTCTACTTGACACTTTTCATATATGAAATAAAGCAAACAACAAGCAATCATTTCTTATAAGCCAAATAAAAATATATGTGTGGTTCCTGTTAAGTCCTAAAAAAAAAATTCTGTAGGTGTGATTCTGCTTTTGTACACGCCACTACTGGAAGTTTGCCATTTTATATTTTTGGTTATAATAAGAAGACATGTTACTGTTTTAGTTAATTTTGTTGCATTCTGTTAAGAATTTGTTGCATTTTTAGTCATAATGGAAATTCAGATGATAGAAATCTGTTAATTCAATCAATGAAGTTCACATTCCACAAATGGGATCGTTCAAAATTTATTTTTCAGAAATGCAAAAAAAGTTAAGAGTAAGGGAGTTTAAACTAGGGTCAGTAGGGTAACTGGAACCACACATTTATTTTTATTTGGCCTAATTAAGGTGCAAAAATATGCAATTTCAAGTGATTTAAACTCAAACCAAACAGTTCAAACTAATTCTGTTCTCCATAAATTTTATCATAAACAGTTTAGAATTTGTGTTGGCCAAACAAAGAAGCCATTCACTTCTGGAACTTATTATCTGGAAAGATTCAAAGATCCAAATGTTTGATTAACCTCAGACACATGAGTGTACAAGAGGACGCATATATATTCTAAACATGACAAAAATGTACATAATGTTGATGAGAAGACAGATATATGAATAATCTTACAAAAGCAAATAAGACAATAAAAAAAAACCAATCCACAAACTATAATAACTATACAAAGAAGCATGCACTGCCGTATAAGTCGAGAGAAAAAGAAAAAAGATATACTGTTAATTCAGAAATTATTGTGTGCATTTATTATTGCGATTTCATGAAAATATGCATTAAGATATATGAATCAGATATCAGAATGCAAGTTCTTATTATTGCAATGCTCACATAGTCACATTATTCGCATGAATATAAACCTTGCATTATTTCTGAATTTACAGTATCTTGTGTTCGAGAAGAATAATTGAACTTTTGTTGATGATGTACTCTATATATAAGGAAGTAGTTAAGGTGTGTGTCATTTTTATCATAGATTTCAAATAAAAATTGTTTATAGACAAAAAAAACAATGTTTTCCTTAGACTTAAAAATGAGGAAGTTTATCTGCATACAAAGAAAAATTTAATCAGCAGTGTACAGGTAAAATGTTGACTGATAACGTTACTTGTGTAGAAACAGCATGTATCTCAATTGTCTGTTAGAAAAACTAGATTTATTTGTCAGAAGAAAAAAGCGATTAACATCAAACCAGTTTTGCTTGGCTGGAAAGGTTTAAAAAAGTATGTCAAGATGTATGCAGGTACAGGTCGTTTTCCTGAAATAGACTACATGTATGTCATTTTATGCTCAAGACCAAACATATGATAATATTATTAAATAAAATGGAGAAAACTACAGTAATAAAAAAAACGAAGCTGTCTTTTGTCAACTCTTTAATCTTACACAAGAAATGAATTTCTTTACAAAAATCACTTTAGAAGTTGCCATATTTGCAAGTACATGTTTGAGAAAGCTACATGTACAAACATGACAAAATATACCATATTTTTATAAAGGAAGAACTTTTCAGACTTTCATAGCTTCATAATATCAAACTTCAAACACCAATACTTTGCTTTAACAATCATGCTTTATCATTCAAATTGCTATTGAGCACAAAATGATAAAATGAACACAACATGAATTTGATATAATATTCATGATACATTTGTTATTGACCACATTATTTTATTAAAAGTTTTATCATTTTTTTATGCAAAGAAATTGTCTTTTTTTTGGAAATGGAAATAGCACTTTATTAATTTTGTTGCTCATCTACTCAAGAATGAAGTTCTTTGTAGAATTCAAACAGGTTGAAGCATTGAATTTTAATGTAAGAATAGTTGAGTTGCATTATGTTCCATCCAGTCGGCGAGTCTGTACAGTATCAGGTCATAGTTTTGTCTAGCCTTGACGGAGCTGAAAAGCAAGACGTAGGTATGCTGTTTCCGAGGGCAGCCTCAGCAATGTATTAGTTTGTGATTAGGTCAGTTTATGGGAAACCACTAGTGGCAGGTCAATAATATTTGGTATACAGTTGTATAACCATTTGCACATCTAGCTTCTATGGAGACTATTTGACCCGCATCTCAACAATGGTCTGTTGACTTTGAAACTTTTGCTTAGTTTACATGTATTATTTTCTGATTAGGTCAGTTTATGGGGAATTATCTAGTCATGCTAGTGGTAGGTCAAAGATATTTGGTATGCTGTTATGTTAGCATTTGCACATCTCATTTCCAAGGCTATTATGTGGCCCGGCCCCCTCAGCCATGGTCTTTTGACTTTGAAACTTATGGTTAGTTTACATGTATTAGTTTGTGATAAGGTCAGTTTATTGGAAACCATTAGTTGTAGGTCAATGATATTTGGTATGCAGTTGTTAAGCATTGGCACATCTCATTTCCATTGAGATTGTTTGGCCCTGTACCATCAGTTATGGTTCATTGACTTTGAATAATTGCATTACTTAGTTAAAATATTGGTATTTCAATTTTTGTCTCGCCTTGATGGAGTCAAAAAGCGAGACATAGGTATGCTGTTTCCTGCGGCAGCGGTGGCGTCAACAATGTATTTGTTTGTGATAAGGTCTAGTTCATGGTGAACCACTAGTGGTTGGTCAATGAGATTTGGTATGCAGTTGTATTAGCATTGGCATATCTCATTTCCATTGAGATTATTTGGCCCCGCCCCCTCATTCATGGTCTATTGACTTTGAAACTAGGTCAATTATAATTGGTATGCAGTTGTATTAGCATTGGCACATCTCATTTCCATGGAGAATATTTGGTCCTTACCCCTCAGTCATAGTCTATTGACTTTGAAACTTTTGCTTAGTTTACATGTATAAGTTGTTATTTGGTCAGTTTAAGATGAACCACTAATGTTAAATCAATGATATTCTGTATGCACATGTATTGGCATTTGCAAGTTTCATTTCCATGTAGATTAAATAACCCCACCCCCTAATTATGGTTTATTGACTTTAAAACTTTTACATAGTTTACAAGTTAATGTTTGTGTTTAGGTTTGTTTAAAGGGAACGACTTATGAAAAGTCAATGGTATTTGGTCTGCAGTTGTATTAGCATTGGCACATCTCATTTCCATGGAGATTGTTTAGCCCTGTACCTTCAGTCATGGTTTATTGACTTTAAATATTTGTATAACTTATATGTTAAAGTATTGCTATTTTAATTTTAACATTTGCATTATCAAAATAACAAATAGGCGAGACATATCTCTGTGTTAACAGTTTATTGACATTGCATTTTACTATCAAAATAACAAGAAAGTGAGACCTGCCTACATGTATGTCATGTATGTGTTAACAATTTATTTAATAATAAAATTTATATTTGATTTGTCATGCCAGTGCCAAAGTAGTAGCTACTGAAAAAATGATACCCATGGGACCAACAGTTCTAGAGCAAATATATGACACTACTTGTATTTGTAGCTTTCATGCATAAACTTTGCTTCATTGAAGCACTCTTAGATTCATTCACATCAGGAAAAAATTGTAAGCCAAAAGATGGAATATAAAAAAACTGAAAAACATCAGGAATCAATAAAACCTTTAAGATTAGCAAAAATAGTTGTCTACTGCAGTGTATACATGAACACATTTGTCTGACAAAGAACAACCTGGAATAACATCGTCGTCACTTCAAAGGTTTCATCTGCGTTACCGCCCATCTTTCGATAACTCGTTAATTGGTTTAATATATGGCATGGTAATTGACTCTCGAGAGATCAAATCACTAACACTTTTCGGTCATTTTCGTGTTCCCGGAAAATTACGAATAAACCAGTTGTCGTATGTACGTACGAAGTAACCCGAATAGTTCACTCGTTACATTCCGCTGCTGTACGCTACCGAATAGAGTCAGTCATTCAATGTTGATTTTAGTCTATTTTTCCTATTTATGTTATTTTCGATCTTAATAGTTTAGGCCGACAGTTATCACATATTGAATTTAAGAAAAAGGGTGGATCATTTTCAATTTTAATACTTAAAACCATGCAGTTAATTAAGAAGACATTTCTGAAAGTTAAGAAGATGATTGTACAAAAAATATGTTTCGACCCCCTTTTATTAAATACGAATAACCCAAGTCTTCCGTGTATACCAGGCAAATTAAATATTCACAATTTTAAACGTTTCTATTCTTTAATTTGTACATAAACAAATTCATATAAAATAAATTTGCGGTTAGACAGATAGCGTCAAGCTCGTATTGTATGGTTGATTTTCTTTTTGCTGTAACGTGCTACATTAATATTAGTATTCAATTGTAAACACTTTTTTAAAATAGATATAAATTTAACATGTTTACGAACTTTTGATCCCGATTTTCATTGTCCAGTTTCAATAACGTAATCAATTACTTGAAAGTAAATATTTTTATAAATCTCGATAAACTTGGCACATTTCAACAGTAAAATATTCTATGTCTACATCTGTCTACATTATTTTGTTCAACATCATGTGAAACCTGATCGATTCATCGGTATTTAACTGTTTTACTCGGGATCCGCTTTTAACAGGAAAATACTTTTAGAACAGTTTAAAACAAACGGTAAAAAGCAAAAATATGCTAAATTAAATACAATTTTCCAAGCTAAACTGTTGTAGGTTGAACAATTCTCGTCCGTTTTTCAAGTTTTTTACATCATACGACTTCTTTCTGAAGGTAGAGGTTTTATATGATACAGCGCCACCTTCTTATTAATAAACCTCGGATTTCACACAGGTGCTTTATAATTACCGGACTCGATAAAATCACGTGACTGATAAGAAATTCCAGATGCCATTTTACAACCGCGGTATCACAGATAGTAACCAAAGGGGTCTTGCCGCTGAGACTATAATTGGATAAAATCATATGACTTTAGTACAGAGCTCTGCAGGCTGTTAATACATGCTAATTAGTCGTTGTTATTCCTTTTAAATATTACTTCCATGATTAAAAAAAGGGGGATTTTCCAGTTTTCGGACAATAACTCAAGAATGCTTTCACCAACTTGCAAGAAATTGTAGTGAATTGTTTATATCTATTGACATGAGCTCCCTTTTGATTTTTAAATATTTTAGATTTGACATTTCCGAGTTACAGGGTTTTATTCATAAAAAAAGGGGGATTTTCCAGTTTTCGGACAAAAAATCAAAAATGCTTTCAGCAGTTCTTATGAAACTTTGGTGAATTGTTTATATATCTATTGATGTAAGCTCCGTTTAGAATTTTATAAATTTTTCATTTATCATTTCTGAGTTATGGGGTTTTATTCATTAAAAAAGGGGGGATTTTCCAGTTTTCGGACAATAACTCAAAAATGCTGTCAGCAATTCTCATGAAACTTTGGTGAGTTGTTTATATCTATTGATGTAAGCTCCCTTTACATTTTTATAAATTTCTAATATGACATTGAAAATAAATTGAACTTTATTTGTTTATAGTCTGACAACAGATTTACTAAGTATTGGGCAACGGCACAGTGTATTGCACAACAGCAAGAAATCTTTAATTGAATATAAATTCAATTCATATAATCAATTTCAAGTTCTTTGACTACATTTATTCAGAAACCTATAATATGTCAAATATTTAATAACAATCCAAATTCAGACCTGTATCAAGCTTGAATATTGTGTCCATTTTTGCCCCAACTGTTCAGGGTTGGACCTCTGCGGGCCTATCCAGCTGCGCTCAGCGAAGCAGTTTATTATTGCTGCACTCTAAATAAAGTTTTCCTCATCCAAATTTTATGAGACTCATACATATTGCTAAGAGTCACCAGCCGTTCCAGAATTATGCCCTTTATAACTTGGAGAATTGCAAAGCTTGACTAGGGGCATACGTGTCTTCAGACACATTCTTCTTTTATTTAATTATGTTTGCTTCAACAAGGCTGTAGATTTTGTTCCTGGAGTTTTACATGTCAAAATAGAGCAGTTCAAGTCAATTGTGGATAATTGGTTATATAAAGCTCAGCCAAGAAAGTCAGTACAGCTTTTTACCTCAACTGGCTGGCCCTTTGTCATCTGAGCTATTGCAAACACTTAATGTATGATCATCAACTTTCTATATAAATCTTACTGAACAAATTTTAACCATACTTGGCATGAATGATCCTAAGGCTATCTGGTATAGATTTTGTGTGTTTGTCTCTATTGAAAACCAACAGGCGTCATGGGTAGAAAAGTACATCAATGTGAATGCAAGTTATTGTTAATTATCTGAAAACCAAAATTTTATAGAGTAATCATGACGGGGACAAATTGCTTAGAATGTCAATTTGCAATAAATGGGTAAAAATCTGCATTTGAGGACAAATAACTTCTATTAGTTTATTGACAAATTTGGTTATGTCGACATATTGTATTTCTTGATTTACTTTTTTAAATTCTCGTTAGCTATTTCAGATATCCAATTTATGAATCCCCAATATTTATAGAAATCAAAGCTGTGGTTTATGGAAATAATTTTTGAGTTGAAAACCTGGATTTGCTTTAACATTGAATATGAGTAACCTGTTAAATTATGATTAAACTGTGACCTCAGCAGGAAAATGCAGTATTTAAGTATTGTTCATTTGTTTTGTAGGTAGAATTAGCTCTATGGGATACAGCTGGACAGGAAGATTACGACAGACTCCGTCCACTCTCCTACCCAGATACAGATGTCATTCTTATGTGCTTCTCAATAGATAGTCCAGACAGCTTAGAAAATATACCAGAAAAATGGACTCCTGAAGTAAAACACTTCTGCCCAAATGTACCAATCATACTTGTAGGTAATAAGAAAGATCTGAGAAATGATGAAAATATAAAAAGAGATCTTATGAAAATGAAACAGGAGCCTGTTCGACCAGAAGACGGTAGAGCAATGGCAGAAAAAATAAATGCATATGGTTACCTTGAATGTTCAGCCAAAACAAAGGAGGGAGTGAGAGAAGTATTTGAAACAGCCACCCGGGCAGCTCTACAAACAAAGAAGAAAAAGAAAGGTGGATGTATTATGTTGTAATATTTAGATGTATTTAACAATTAACTCTAGAACAAAATGTGAAGTCTGGCAAAATGGGAGATAACTGCCATGGAAGTGTTTCCTTTTTGCTACTTTTATCCATTTTAAGTAATTTATTGTTAGTCCTTTGTGAAAATATTTTTTTTGTATTCTTGTGAATGATGAATTATTTTACTTAGTGTTCTTTGTATTGCTACATCAGAGTGAAAAAAAGAATATTGGATCTGATGGCAATATTTTTTAAATGAGAGGTGAAATAAAGAGACTATGAAGATGACAAAATTACCTCCATTTGTTTCATCTATGCATTTTGTGGGGGAGAAATAGTTACAGCCACCCTTTAATATTTGGACATAGCTTTGGCTTTTTAGACTTCATTTTTTCTTTTCTTTTATAATGATTTCATACTAAGTTTTTTCTCTTTATTTGGTTCTTAGTAACAAGTTGACTTTATACTGGAGAAATGTAATGAAATTATTTTTAATCAGCAAAAGGTAAAGATTTTTTTGTTGTTGACATATTTATCATTGTATTTTCAAAGAGGATGGGGCATAAAAGGTAGCAGGAAAAAAGCACACACACAAAAAAAAACATTTCCCAAAAGGAAATTCTTCTAGGCATGCAATAAAATGTGCAATAATGATATGACCAAGTTATCTTTTTGCTCATTTGTGAAATATTTGAATGAAAACTTGTTAACTACAAGGATGCTGTGATAGGGTCCAACATTATCTTCTGTACCTGTTGATTTGGGAAAATAATATGCTGTAACACAAGTGTTGGTTGAAATGTTTTCAATGAATTTTTTGCTTGGAAATGGATAGAAATATACACAAATATTGGCATAATCATTTGCAGTTGTACCAATTTTTTGCATCATACTATATATTATTAATTTAAAAATATAAGAGTGCTTTACATTGTATATTATTTTAGTATTGTACAGTCAGAAAGTGTTCAGATTCATTAGTTTTTTTATAATCAGCCTGGAGTTAAAAAGATGCAAATATTAACTGGACAAAATTGTTGAGATGTTCTCATTGAAGAAAAGTCGACTTAGATGTAATTAATTCAAATGAATTGAGATTTGCTGATGATGTTTTGAAATGTGTTGTACAAAATTAATTTTTTTTTGAAGAACATACAGAAATGATCTACCATCATTTACTATCCTGGATGGTGAAAATTAAAAATGTAAATGTTGATTTTCAAACATTTAATTTTTCTATTTTTTTTTGTTGGTTTGTCAAAATTTATAAATTATTTAAGATATCAATATAATTGCTATAATTCTATCCTTATCATTAAACTGTAATACTGAATTTAATATTTTCAATATTAACAAATTTTTTAGTTTAAAAAAGATAAAAATTATTTAAGATAGTAATAACAAAATTCATAAAAAAGTAACTTCAGGGATCAGAACATCAGAAAATTGTTCAGGAGCTTGCCTGTGTCTGTGTGCAAATTGAGTCAAGTTTAAAAACTGAAGGCTGATGCTGAAAAACTGCTAAATTTGTAGATTTTTTTGACTGCATAGAAAATTGTATAGTTTTGAGTTGATTAAAGATGTGTTCAAGGGACTGCATGTACAAGTTTCTGCAGGACAAAGCTTACAAAATGGTGCTTGTTCATATAACACTGCATGTCTTTTATTAAGATGTTTTTTTTTTTAATTTTATCAAAAATTTAAATGACAGAACAAACAATAGCTTTATCTGGTATATTATTAATTAAAAATTCATGTTTAGGACTTTGAATTGTTTTTATGTTGTTATTTTAAAGCAAAGAAGCTAGTATAGGAATTTCTTCAAAATGCTGTTAAATTTTTTTTAATAGAAAAAGTTTCCAACATTTAGTTAAAAAAAATTAAAATTTAGTTGACATTGATAGAAAATGACCAGCATTTATAGAATATTTTCATATTACTGACTTTGACTCCGGATTATGTAATTTTACGAAGGGTTACCTACTTTGTGGTAGGACATCCTGGTACTTGGTCAGGTAAGAGCAACTAAAGAAGTAAAATCAAGCTTTCAATTGGTACAATTTTGGGGGGAAATTGACTGTTTTATGTTTTCTATACATGACAAAATCATCAGAAAAAAGTGATCTTAACCTCTAAATTGTACTGATTGAAAGTTTGATTTTCCTTTTGTATGTTGCTCTTACTTGACGGAGTACCAGGATGTCCTACCACAGAATAGGTAACCTGTCAAGACATTGTATAATAGGGAGTCAAAAGTCGGTAATACGAAAATGGTCTATTGAAATTAAGAGTAGTTGGTGCGTCACATGTATAATATATTAACAGGATTCACTATTACATCAAGGCTCAATATTACAAATAAAACACATTTATATAATTTCATTGCTAAGTATTTTATAGTTGTGTAAATGACATGTGAATGCTATATTATATATCATTTCTAACATTTCATTGGTAAAGCCTATAAAATGAAATAAATTGTAATTTCATCAGTTTTCTTTTTCTGAAGTTTTTCATGCTTTTCTGTCTAAAGTAAAGGCCATGTGGGATATAAGCCATTGTGACAGCAAACAAATTATTAAGATGTCTAGAGGACATGGAACAAACAGTTTTCAATAATAGACTGGTGTTTGGATATAGTCTAGCTCTACATTGAACCAAATCTATAAAAGTTTAAAAGAAATAAAAAAGTTTGATTTTGATTTATACACTAAGTGATATGTTAACACAAATCTGGTAATTTTCAATGCAATCACCCAATTATAATTGGAGTGACAGATTTATTAGAAAACTATTATTTATATTTTATTATAATTTAAAAATAAATATAACATCATATCTCTTTACATCGTATCTAATTTTAGAGTCTATGGTTAAATCATATTTAATTTTAGATTAACATGATTAGTTCATGGAAATAAAGTTCAAGTTATATCCATTTAAACAGAAATGGTTTAACTAAGAAGTATTTCATCAAAAATTGAATTCTTGGGGTTCTTTGATATGCTGATTCTAGCAATGTACTAAGCATTTGGATATTGGACCATAATAGGTAAATGTTCAATTTCAAATTTTTCAGTTCTTTGACCACATTTATTTTGTGTCACAAACCTATGCTGTATTAAATATTCAATCACAATCCAAATTCAGGGCTGTTTCAAGCTTAAATGTTGTGTTCATACTTGCTCAACTGTTCAGGGTTTGACCTCTGTAGGAAAATCAGGTTTGCCGTCACTCTGACAGCCTCTTGTAATATTTTGTTTTTGTGTTAATAGTTAAAGAATACATGTAAGAAGGCCTTAATTTAAACATCAGCATTTTCCAGTTTTTATTTGTCAAACACAGAGAAAACAAAATTCTATAGGAACAGGGTTGAAAATTTTGACAGAAATCAACTTTTAATGTTTGAATCAGTGTTTACATTAAACAGATTGCAAATATATTATTGATATTGAATAAATACAACATCACATGCAGTTTTGTGTGTTGAAACATGTATTTTCATCTGTTTAGAAGATATTGATTAATTTATCCAAGTAAAAAAAATAAGTGATGGATTTCTCTTGGAAGAAATTTAAAGGTCCCAGTGAATAAACTACACAGAGAACAATATCTATAATATTTATTTAATGGGACATAGAACTGAAAAAGTTTAAATAGATTGAACAATAGGGGATGACTCTGTGGAAAAGTTGCATTTGGTTTGCAATGACACCTTCCATGATATATAGTCCCAAGTTAGACTCACCCTTGGCGCAACTGCTCCAAAAGTTTTGTCACTTGACAAGTCGAGTTATGGGAGTGGGTAGTTTTCTGGATAAGTAAAGATTTACTCCTTTTGAAATATTTCTAAGTGGTTAGAATGGAATACAGATAACACAACCTTTGGAATAGGACTGAAATATTGTCAAGTTTAAATTTTAGTGTTGTTTCATAAACACTAATATTTAGCTCTTTAGAATGATCAAATTAAGGATTCACACTGGATAGTGTAGCTTTTCTTCTTGGATCTTCTTAACATTTGTGTCCCCTGTGTAACGCGTTGCGGGGGACATGGAAATATCTAACGTCCACCCATCCGCTACTGTGCGTCGGTCTGTGCTGTCTTGTTAGCGCTCTCACATGAACAATTCTTGCCAGATTTTAATTAATTTTATATCATAGGTTTATATCAGCAATGTCTTGTACGAGTTCGAAAATTAGTGCCAATCAATCTTAAAAAGAGTTTTGCCCCTTGAAATTATTGATTATGTGGAAAATTGCAATGTTATTGCTCTCATGTGTTCAATTTTGCAGAATTTTATGAAACTTGTATCATAGGTTTATATCAGCAATGTCTTTGACACTGTTGAAAATAAGTTCTGATCAAATATTTGTAAAGAGTTATGCCCCTTGCAGTTATAAAATATAATGGTAATCACATTGTATTTGGTCTGAAGCCTTCATTTCTCTTAAGATAAAATAAAAAAGTTGTAAAGAACAAAAAAAAAGAGGTTTTTTGAGTTATTGCCCTTGTAAGTATTAATTATATTGGAAATCACATTGAATTTGCTCTGAAGCATCCATTTTCTAAGATATTTGTTAACAGTTTTAAAGAGAAAAAAGAGGCTGTCAGAGTGACAGAAAACCGGATTTTCCTGCAGAGGTCGAACCCTGAACAGTTGAGCAAGTATGGACACAACATATAAGCTTAAAAAAGCTCTGAATTTGGATTGTGATTGAATATTTGACACAGCATAGGTTTGTGACACAAATGAATGCGATCAAAGAACTGAAAAATTTGAAATTGGACATTTACCTATTATGGTCCAATATCCAAAATCTAGCTACATTGTTAGAATCAGTATATCAAAGAACCCCAAGAATTCAATTTTTGATGAAATAGTTCTTCATTAAATAATTTCTGTTCAAAGGGAAATAACTCAAACTGAACGAAAGACCAAATCACAGACATTAATTATTAATTTCTGTTCAAAGGGAAATAACTCAAATTCATATAATAAATATGAATTTTTAATTTCTGTTCAAATGGAAATAACTCAAATTCATATAATAAAAATAAATTTTGCTACTGAAAGGTCTACAACTCAACAACGAGAACGGCTAAAATCGTGAAAATTTAACTTGACCTTCATTTAGTCTCAGGAAACAACATATCTAAATTTGAAAAGATTTCGTCAAAGCGTTTTCATGTAGATGAACAGACACTGTTTGGCAGCTGCCTGCCGTACATCCCCAAATCAATAACCGATGTTTCTTTCAAAAATCCGGTTAACAAAGTGTATTTTTTAGTTATTGTCCTTGATCCTTGAATAGATAAAATATGTGCAACATGGGGACATTGGAACTCGGTTCTTTTATTTGTCTTGCCTGTGACTTTCATATTGGTTAGTTAGATGTATTATATTATATTATATTATATTACTTTCCAGTGTAATTGTGATATTATCAATTTGCAAATGACTTAAAAATCTTTGCCTCTCTCTCACTCTCACTAAGGATGACAACTAATGGTATGTTGGTAGCTTATAATGATACATTAACAGCGAGTCATTATCAGTGATCTGTTTTTATACTCCAGTAATCAAATTAAGTCTGTTCCCTTGAGCTATATATGATGTCAACAGTACTTAGTCTGCATTGTTTGCTGTGAGTAAATGTCTGTCTGATGTATGTCATATGGTCTTTGACTCTCAATGATTAGGTTGGGTTTTCTCAGGACTCTTTCTCTGAAACAATACAGTATAAGTTTGCAACATTTTAAAATATATAGATATATGTACCTAATACATGTCAATATGACATTTGTCATATCCTTTATTTCATGCTACAGTAGACCAAATCAGGTTTTAGGCTTCGGTGTTATGTTTTAGTAGCTACATGTTTATGTTACAGGTCAATAGTTTGGTATGTTGATTGGGATCAGGGAGCATGTCTGACATTACATGTTACCTTGATCTCAATTTAAGTGGACATCTTAGTTTTTGGAAAGTTTGAAATCATGTCAGAAGACTTTCTCTTTGCAACTTCAGGTCCTAACATGATTGCAGCCATACTTAAAACTTATTTACTTCTTTTGAATTGGGTAGTCGGAGGTTTCTACTCCTTGTACATTATGAAATGTTCAGAAACCATTATGAAAATACTTAGTCAATTAAGAGTTGTCTGCATCCTGGTCCGATCACCAACTGTCACGATTTCTTCACTTCTTGTTCGCCCTTATTAATATTTTGAACTGTTTTGGTTTATACTAGTTAAATGATTTTTTTTAATAATATGCCTTGAATTGAAAATGTTCTTTTAAAAGTTCAGGATTAAAACGTTAACATATGATATTGTGTTTGTTACAAAATGAAAAAGTATGCTATGACAAGAGTTTCTATATGTTTCTGGTTATAAATAGAATAATTCCGATATACCGAGGAGCCTAAGCCTGTCAACACTCAGATGAGTTTCAACCCTGCACATAGAAGGTGGGTTTGAGTCTAATTCTAATGACTAGGATTGCTAGTTTTCCTGCTGAAGTTTCGCCAACAAATAAAAACTGGCCGCTATTAAATAGCCAAAAGTGCTGCAAGGGGTAATTAAACCCAAAGAAACTATCCACAGTACCAGATAATCATGACAATAAGTATGATGATAGTGATACTAATGCAAATTCTGAAAAGAGAATTATTACTGCAATGATAATTCTGTCAGATATTCTAGATTGGTTGGATACATAAGTAATGACTGCTATTGTTTGAGGAGGGTGTCAGAAGATCATTTAAAATGCATCTGCACTATTTCCAAAACGAAAGGAAGAATAAATTTTCGTTGATTGCTTGTTGAACTACTAGTATATGATCAAACTCATATCTGTCTGTAACTAAGACCAAAATTCAAATACTTGAGTTAATGTTTTTCCATACCTTATCTTTTAAAAGCATCAAAAATGCATACTCTATTTTTTTACTGCAGATCTCTATGCTAAAGAAAAGTATTTTTATAGTATTACTGTTAAAATTATTATCAAATAAAAAAAAATATCAACAACTTACTGAAGGGTCAAGTGAGTTATTCTCATCACTAGGAGTCTGTCGTCAGTTAACTTTTACAAAACTTTTCTTCTCTGATACAACTAGACCAAATTGTTCCAAACTTGGCCACAATCTAGTTGATTCAGGAATGCTGGATCTAACTAGCTTGTGGTGTTTAACGACCTTGACTGGCTGGTAAGCCCTAGCACGGTCGGCTCGATGCCCGAAGTCGTTTGGTGAGCATTTAAATGTTTTTGTTGTCGAAGTAGGAAAAAGGCGGCCATTTTGGTTTTGCTGGTTCTATTTGGTGTTTTACTAATGACGTTGGTTTGTTGTCTACTTCCTTCACAACGGTTGCTTTCAGGGCCAGATTGGACAGCTGTGCAGCCTGCTAACCACGGTGATAAAGTACTGGTCGATGAGTCTCGGACATACTAATAACGATGACAGGAAGCATTATCAGGACCAAAGTC